AAAAAACAGCTGATTTCGAAAAACTGCCACTGCCACTGCCACTGCGTTATTGTATTTTGGGCTTTACGTCTACTACATACATCTGCTATGTAAAGGAGAGTAAATTCGATGTTGGATTTGTAGTGGGAGAGCGACTCCGTTTCCCAGTGCATTTTGTTGTTGTTGTGACAGCATACAAATTCCCTAAAGAATTTTTAGGGAGTGGTGCTGGAGTGACAGTCCTTGGCTAGTTGTAAATGTGGGTCGTTCCGGTTACGTAGATCCGAGTGCCGTCGTTCACACCGGTGGACGAGCGTATAGCCACAATCCGCATCAAAGCGAGATTCTTCAACATCTCGCTCATCTGCGCCCACACCCCGACGGAAGAGAATGACAAGGCGCCCTGGGATCACTTCACTTCAGCAATCAGCGCATTAGAAACAAAGTTGATGCTTCGTTTGGTTTCGGTTGCGATTGGTGTTGTGAAAATGGAAAATTACGAAAGGGTTTTCATTGTTATATTGAATATTTAAAGTATGCAGTGTACAGTGGCGGTCAAAAATGGATGAATGGAGTTTAGTTTTTAATATTTACAATGTTTTTCAAGCTATACATTTTTTGATATTTTTTATAAAAATATGGTTCATGCTTTAACAAAAACTGTATAAATCACACTTTCACACTTTATACAGAACTAGAATTTTATAAGCTTGTTAACTGCATACCCCAAAAAATTCTAAAAATTCTGGTTAAAAAGCTCGAAATTTAGATAAAAATTTGTACAATTTTTCTAAGTTCTGCACAGAATTTGGAAGTGCTATTCATATAGTTTTCGTTAAAGCATGAACCATGTTTTTATAAAAAAAATGTCAAAAAAATTTTAGCTTGAAAAACATTGTAAATATTAAAAACGAAACACCATTCATCCATTTTTGACTGCCACTGTATATGGTTGCAATGTTTCGCAACTCTGCATATACAAACAGTTTAAATACTGCGATAGAACAGTATCTAAACATTGTATTGGTACGTTTTGGAAGTCAGCCTATATTTTTAGCATATTATCAAAACTGTTTGACATCGGGAAAAATACTCTTGTTTATCATGCAGTTTACTGAAAGTTGAAAAAACGATAGTTATTACGTACGCCGGGTATATAAATTTCGGTTGCGCCTGAACTTATACTTCTTTACCTGTTTTTCTTTTTATCAAAATTAATTTTTTTATTACATTTTTTTTAATTTTTTAATTTATAGAATATATATTACTAAAAGACAAAGATAATAACGCTAAGATCTCCTCGTTAGCAGATCTTTCAGATCTTGGTTATCAGATTATCTGGTTATGTAGTAGTATTTAGTTATATTTTTAACTCAGTTTACAAAAACAAAACACTCTAGAGATTAATAATTTTTAACCAGATAATATGATAACCAGGCAAGATAGTTGTCAGAACTGGCAGTTGTCTTAAAGCCTGATTATGGCAACTTAACTTAACTTAGATGAACGTAGAACTTAGAGAATCAAAATGAAACAGATTTCGACGTGGCATTAAGTTACGTTAAGTTGCCATAATCAGACCATAAGACTTTTGTCTTTCGAAAGACTGTGGTGAGTTGAACGACAGTTGCCAGAATTGTCCTGTAAGTTCTCTCTCGACGTACGAAACCACACTCTTGGGAGATTAAGATTTTGCGGAAGATTTTCGCTTTGGCGACGGCGAGTTCCGCAGACGATGGAATGATGAGCTGTATAAGTTTTGAAGCGATACGGACATAAGACATTGTTCGAATGGACACAGGAAGAGGAATGCCTCCTTTGCGATGAAATGACCAAGTGGACAAGGACTTGGCTTCACTAGGCATTTCCAATTGGCGTCAGTTGGCACAGAAGAGCAACTATTTGTCTGCTTTGTTGAACTTGGCCAAAATCGCTTAGGCAGTTACAGTGCCAAACAAAAAGAAGATTTTAGATAAGAGTGCGTGATATGTTTTTTATACATAATTCCTTAGAGAGAGTCTAGAACAATTTCCAAATGCATATGTATGTGTGTATATATTACTCTAGGGTTTCTATTCCATTATCTTATCTTTAACGCGTATGCTTTTGTATGGTTGTTAAAGATTTGAAAACAAAAGAACTGTATGATGGGAGTCAATGCCTTATACGAAGGTCGCGAATTCCAGCGCCCATAAATAACTAGACGCAAGATTATTTATAAATATATAAGTATGTATCTTTTATTTTTTTTGTACTTATTAACCATAATTTTTTTCGTAGTTCCCTATTTTACTTGTAACAATCAAGCAGTTCGTAAAAAAATTTTGTAATTATCATTCATATTCTTCTAAATACATACACTTCACTAAATACACATTTTTATTTTTGTTTTTTTGTTTTTTATAAATAAATTTCTTAGCTTATTTTGAAGACTGTTTCGCCTCTTCAAACATATTTCTGGATATGATCAGACGTTGGATTTGAGAAGTGCCTTCGTAAATTTGGTAGATTTTGGCATCACGCATCAGCTTTTCTACTGGGTACTCGGTGTTGAAGCCATTTCCGCCGAATATCTGCACAGCATCGCTGGCAATTTTATTCGCCATATCCGCAGCATGACACTTCGCTATCGAAGCATAGTAGCTGTTACGGCGACCCTGATCAACTTCCCACGCAGAGAGACGGTAGGCAAGACGAGATGTTTCCACGCCAATAGCCATGTCGGCGAGCATAAATTGCACAGCTTGATGATAAGCGATCGGCACACCGAAAGCTTTGCGCTCCAGTGAATATTTCAACGCTTCGTCTAAACAGCGCTGCGCCAAACCGACTGCGCCAGCAGCAACAGGTGGGCGTGTTTTGTCGAATGTACCTGCGAAGAAAATAGAAATAAAAAATATTTATTTATGTAAATATTTGATGAACTGAGGTACTACATATCGATGGTCCTCTGCAGTAACGACACAATTCAAAATTTAAAAAATAAAAACCATTACTACTGTTAGGTGGCTTTTGTCTCTTATCCTTGCCTAATCCATTTCCATCCTTATCTAAAGTAAGCAGTAAGGATTGCTTAAGTAAGTATTAAAGATAAGACATGGATTCACAAGGACTAGATACATGAGCCACTTAACAGTAGTAACAGTTTTTATTTTTTGAATTTTGAATTGTGGCGTTATTGCATAGCACCATCGATATGTATGTATTTAAACCAATGAGGCCATTTGTAATTTCACTTACCCATAGCAATTTTGAAACCAGCGCCTTCACCAATCAGCACATTTTCCTTGGGTATACGCACATCTTCAAATGTGATGCCGCGCGTATCGGACGCACGTTGGCCCATATTCTGTTCCTTGCGACCGGGCGTTACGCCGGGTGTATCTCGCTCTACAATAAATCCGGTGAAGGCCTTCGAGGCTGGCGCCTTTGGATCGGGATTAGTGCGCGCTAACACGAAGTACCAATTCGCCACACCACCATTGGTTATCCACATTTTTTGTCCATTCAAAATGTATTCATCACCCTTGCGTTCGGCTTTCGTTTTAATGCCGTTAACATCTGAGCCCGCACCGGGCTCTGTAACACCATAAGCGGCTACAATCGGCTCCTCTAACAGACGCCCTAAATACTTCTTCTTCTGTTCTTTATTACCAGCCATTATAACAGGCGTTTGCTGCAAGAAAAAACGCCAAAAAGGTGTTAATCGAAAGAGAAGTGAACTTCTAACGAAATCCTTAACTTACGCCCAAACTACTCGCCTCCAAGGCGGTCATAATGCCAGTGCAACCGTAAGCCAACTCTTCGGCAATCAGACAACTCGTATAGCAATCGAGATCCATGCCACCAACGTCGGCGGGTATGTGACTGTTCATTAAACCTAACGACCATGCTTTCTTCACAATATCCCAGGGATATTCGCCAGTCTTGTCGTGGTGTGCCGCTACTGGTATGATTTCTTCGCGTACGAATTTGCGTGCGAGTTCCTGCATTTGTTTTTGGTCTTCGGTTATGCCGAAGGAAGGACCAGTAGGTATGACGTGAGCGATACCACCATAGCTACGTGATGCCAAATTTCGAAAGGACGTGGTAGCAATCTTAAAATAAAATAAATATATATGTACATACATATGCAATTAATTGAAAATTCATTGGTAAAAGTAGGCTAGTAAATAAGATGCCATAAAACTAAGTATATTGGTATAAATCATCTTAACAAAGACTGGTCTTCGGAGTATCTCTAATTTTTTCTCATTTTGGTTGTTGGTGTTTCCGACAGGGTAGGACTATGATGCATTGTGAAAAGATTTTCCGTTATTGCTTGTAAAATTTGGGTGACATCGGTGTTGTGCCCTCGATGAGCCGAAAAATCGTTCCACAATACATCTTATGTCTAATTACTTAGATATGAAACCCGTCTAAGGACATTTTTATGGTAACACCTTTTTTGTATGTTTATGGGCTTGGTTAACTTTAATAAGCTCAAATGATTTCTATAGCAGCATTTCTTATTTGGTAATAAAAATTGTAGATATCCTAGTAGGTTTTTGAGAGAGCGTGAAACGTCTCCTCAAAAAAAAAAGAAAATTAGTGACACAAAAACGAGAATACCCAGAGCTTGAGATGCTAGCAGGCAGTAATAAACCTAACAGATTCTATCAAAAAAGAAGACAGCATTAAAATGGTTTCAAGACCTGTGTTAGTACTGCAAAAGCGAAGAAAGAAATCTGGTTGCAGATACCAGAAAATTTTTAGTGACACCTACATTCAGCAATAAATTTTTTTAATAGTTCCACTGAAATAATTAAAAATCTTCCTTAAACTGTGTTTTTATTACAGCATAAATTATTTCATTTCGATCAAATTACTTCACATAAATTAAGTGCGTTCAGACTTTGATTTCGTGATTTCTTTATACACTTGATTAGCATGTGTAAGTATGAGTTTTTAGTTTTTACGATGGTGGGATTACCCAGTCGGCAAAGTGAGGAGCGTTTCTAATTAAACGCCTTGGAGACTTTATTAAAAGATCTTCCAATAGCGCTACCATTCGAAGACAGAAGAGAAGGTGGGTTTCCATGGTAGCGAAAGTCAAATAAGTCTAAGGCAGACGTAAAGGTTTGTTTCCAACCAAAGCCAAATAAAAGACTGCAAAGTTAAACTCAAACTGTTTCATTATTGTTTCACGTAAAGTTTTCCCTTCTAAGGAAATATGAATAAGAAAAGGAGTAAAGAATCGAGCACAAAAGGCTTATCGTTCCAAAAGATCCCAAATAAGGACTTCCAGAAGTCCTCTTTGTTTATAACTTTGCCGACTGGGTATACCAAGAGTGCGAAAAAAAACTTTAAACTGCCTTATTGGAGGAAAAAAAACCTTTCAAAACGGGGAAGTTAGTTAAAAAGATTTTGCACAAAAAAGTCTACAGGGACTCACTAACGAATGCATAAAAAAATCTTGATAATTTTATGAAGCGACGCAATCAGATATATAAAATCCACATCAAGAAAGTCGATAACGTGAAGGCTAGGGTGTTCGATAATTGGCCTTTTTCCAAAACCGGGTTTCGAGTTATTCGGAAAATTGCAATTTGAAAAAACCGTTTGAAATTAAAAAAAAACTTACAAACTTTTTTTATTTGTAGTTTTCATACAGGGAAATCGCTTATACTGGTATGAAGTCATGGCTAAAAATTAACTTTAATCTTTTTTTTAGACCAAAAGTGAAATAAATAAAAATCAGTGAAAAATCGACGTTTGGCCTTATTTTAACTTTTTGAATACTTAATTGCAATTTTCCGACTTTTTTGAATATGAGTAATGCTCTTGCCGCCGTAGCCGATTGAAAGGTCAAGAAATGTGAAAACCGGTTTGTTCGATTAAAAAATAAAACGGTTTATTCGATATTCGAAAAATCAAGATTTCAAAAAAAAAACCGCCTATAGACATAAAAAAACAGTTGAAAGCGGTTGGAAAAACCGTGTCAATTACCCTAGGAAGTACACAAACGCAACACGTGAGTTCAAGGAAAAAGGTCACTAAATATAACAGATTTATAAAGATTAAAAATGAATTTCGCATAGTCTAGAATGTTGAGCAATGGGCACACTGCAGAATTCAATCGAGTTATCTGGCCTAACCTGCCCCACTGGTGCATGGAACATACGGATGCCTTCACAAATCCACGTTTTCCTGCAATTTGCACAGCTTGACTTAGTCATAATTAATTTTTTGTTCACAAATAAATTATATACCAAAGATTTTACATATTTCTCACAAAAATTCGAACAGAAAATTTTAGAAAAAACAATGTTGCAAGCAAATAGTAAATAGCCAGATGCCTCCTAACACCTAAAACATCCAACGAATAAAAGCAACATTGTTAAATGCAAGGCAGCCGAAAGTCAGAAAATGAACAGAGAAAGCTCCCCTACTACTTAATCTCATTATTGCGCCACGGTTTGTATTTGTTTTTAAAATAAATTGTTGCATGACAAATGGGGTTTTTTTCATTTCTTAATAAGAGGTTTTTTATTCATAATTAGAGCTCGCATTTTCATGCAAAAATGGCACATATTTTTAGGCTTGATTTTTAACATAAGAATCTGAGCTCTATTTATAAGACATTATCTAATTTCTATTAAATTTATTGACAGATTTTATAAGGCGAAATAACTTGATTTCAGCATGATTTGCCAATAAATTACCATTGAGCCATAAATTGCGATAATGTGAACATGCTTTTATTAGCAAAAGTTTAATGAGTTTTGGAGAGCTTTAATTTACTGACATTAGGCTGGTACGTTTTGGTGATAAAAACTGAGATCTGGTGGGTAAGTACTAGAACAGGGTATTTGAGGTCAATGAACCTTGGAACAAAAAAAAAATGCCTCAAGATAAAAGCATCGATATACCATACTTTAAAATCCGCCTGTAAAGGCCGAAGATATGACAACGGGCGCGCTTTTTTTTCTGGTACGGTCTAATGTACATATCTGAGCTGTTAGAAATATCAGCAGCCACCTTAATCTAATCTAGGCCATGTGTGTATGTACATATTTATGAATGTGTGTACATAAGTAAATAATTTTATCTAACAGATGCGTAGCAGTTAAAGTAATTTTTAATATACATATGTAAGTATGTACATATGTAAAAGCATACGATTTACATAGTTTTTATTAGCTGTCAATACACATAGCTACATATGTATGTATGTAGTTATTTTAATTGTCTATAACTTAATTCAAGCTAAAGCATACATATATGTTTGTACATACGCGCAAACAAATCATCCCTTCGTTTATCTGGGCATCTAATTATAATAAAATCAATGATCCCGGACAAGTATTCCTTTGATTATTATTATTTTTACTTTTTATGCTTTGTACAATTTTATTTTTAAATAAAGATAATAGTGTATTGCTAGATCCGTAACACACAGTATTTGCTGTACAATTTTAGATAACTTGAATGACCTTATCTGGCTTATCAACTGTAGACCTATTTCAAAGTTTATTTTATTCAGACTTGTTAAATAATGATTACTAATTAGATCGTGTTTTTTTTTTAAGAGAACAGTTTAATGATCAAATACCATTATTTGCACCTTATTATGTACAGTAAATGATTAGTTTTAAAACTAATAAAAAATAATCATGATTTTTCACCATTAAATGAAAAATCGGAAAAAGTCAAAAATAATTGGAAAAAAATTAATCGCATTTGTTTCTATTTAACTTTGTTCAATTATTTATGGGTTTTTTTTTTAATTTATATGCAGTTATTAGTTATATTGAAACTTATTTAGCCAAATAAAACTACTGCAGCAATGTTAGCTTATACTAAAAAAAAACAAGTTCTGTATATTGTTCAAAATACATACATACATATGTGGACCAATTTTTGCACCAATTGCTTTTTATCGTCACCCAAAAATCTGTAGTATTAGCATAGATTGGCCGAGCTGCCCCTCCTATTTGTGGCGTGCGTCTTGATGTTGTCCCACAAATAACATTTTTTATTTTTTACCAATATCTCCAGAAAAAGTTAACAAATTCAACAAAAAAATACCAAATTTATTTTGTGTGCAGAACTGTACTCAAGCTCGTACAAATGTACATATATCCGAAGCCACCAAGATTTACATGTTTTCAGCGATAATTTTTATATCTGTGTGAACAAGGGAAGGCATCTAATCCATTAGATTGTCATGGCTCATAATTTCTTGTGGAGGGGATGTTATTTGGCCACCGAAATTATCTGAATTGACACCGTTTGACTTTTTAAGAGGCTACTCTTACGGCTGTATTTATGCGAATAAACTTTGTAGCAAAAAAATCAACGATTGAAGGCAGTCCTGAAAGTTTTAGACTCGCTCATAAACCAAGTGAAGTCCCTGCCATAGCCTTTTAAACGAGAACACATGGGCCTCTTCCTAATGTGGAAACAGAACGAGCCTATATTGACTTATGCGAGAGAAGGATCTACTCTACTGAACAAACATGTAGGACCGAATCGGAAAAGTTACCAAATTGAAAAAGAAATTACCAAATTTTATAATGAAAGAAAAAAATTACCAATTTTGGTTAAAAATTACCAAAGCGGCAACGTTGAGAATGGCTAGTACTTTTAAGTGAGATAGCACTTGCAGCCAGGGACGTGAACCGGATGAAAAATTTGGTCGGTTCGGTTCAGTGGTTCGAACCGTTTTTGCACTTTTGGATTGGTTCATCAAAGCGGTTTTTTTGATCTTTGAACCGGGGTTTCGGTTGGGTTCAACGGTTCGAAAAACAAAAAAATAACGCGCAATTTTAAGTGTCAAGTGTCAAGTGCAACAACGCGCTAGGTTAAGGGTCAATTGTCTGTCAAATGAGATGGGTTGCCTTTACATTTGACACATGGTAAACAAATATGGTAAGTATTACCTTGTTTAACAAAAAGAAAAAAGTGGGTACATTCATCTATTGAAAATTGGTTGAAACGAACCTTTAAACTTTTATTGAAAGTGGTTCGGTTTTCTGTTCGGATCCAACATTTGTGGAAAATTTCGGTTCGGTTAATGGTTCAGTTAATTAATAGGAAAAAGCGGCTTTCCGGT